GGAAGTGATAGGATCAATTTAGAAGAAACTTTTGGTAGTAGAATTTAGGTAACGCAACGGGTTCTTTCAAAAATGACGGCGAAGGTGATGATTCTCAGACGGTAGTCAAATGGTTCTTGAGGGTTAGGGTTTTATGGGTAATCAAGTTAAAGAGTACCCAAGTTTTGTTTAAAGCTAACCCTTTTTTGACTAATTCCCAAACTTGTAATACGTTTATAAAAATATCTATAATTTTCCTTTAATTCTTATTATATCTTTACAAAATGGAGCCGACAACAAAAGTCAATAATTAGTGAAAATATACTCTCTTAAATTTGTTTAGAAAGCATTAAACAAAACAACCTTTTGCTTGATATTTTAATGCCACTACTTTAGAAAGCTTACTTGACAGGGATGCCTCGACAAGCAAAGAAGAGCAATTCGAAATTTCACCCCCAAAAAAAGAGAGAAGCAAAGCCGGCCCAATATATAATTCAGAACTACAATCGCTGAAAAAAATCTTAAAAAGTTAGTGGGAACCCTCTATTTAAGAGAGCTACCAATGGATTATACAGTACATATATATAAACATAGTTGTGTCTTATTAGTATTTAACATTAACATTTAGTACAAAGAACACAACGATTAATTGAAAATGGTGCCTCAAGGTCTTTCCTTGACCCTAGTTTTTCTCTTGGCAACCCTAATCGCATTTAGTGAAGCCAATAACAGCCGAAAGCTCCTGCAAACACCCACTAACTACCAACCAGTACATTCTCCTCTTCCATCTCCGGCCTATTCTCCTCCGGCTGATCTTCCTCCTCCACCGACTCCGGTCTATTCTCCTCCGGCTGATCTTCCTCCTCCTCCAAGTCCGGTCTATTCGCCTCCAGCTGATCTTCCTCCTCCACCTACTCCCGTCTATACGCCTCCGGCTGATCTTCCTCCTCCTCCTACTCCGGTTGCTCTTCCTCCTCCTCAAGCTTACAAAGCCTTTTATTATAGGAAATCTCCACCACCACCACCTTCCCGCAAACCATGGTGGTGGTTGTTGTGAAGCTTTAAGACATAAGTGCATTGACTATGTAATTTCTTTGATGTCTCTTAATTACGCCGAGGTTTCTTCGATATATTTCAAATTTTCAATCACGGTTTTTTTTTAAAAAATTTTTTGCTCTTTCGTAGAGTACTGAGTGACGTTTGATCCATGCACTAACGGTTTGTTTATCCTTTTGTCGTATTGTATGATTCGTTTCAATTTGTGATATTTTCAAATCTTTTCGACTAAAGATAATTCCACATGTCTTCGTTGATACCTAGACTTGGTTGT